CAAGAGACTTAAGAATGTAGAGGAAAAGCTAAAGATGTAAAATAAAAGAGAAATATAAACAGAGAAATAATTGAGAATATTTAATATCTCATAAACACAAGTCCCAGAAAGAAATAACAAGATAAAATTGGGGATACAATTATTAAGAAAATAATAGTAGAGATGAAATAATCACATAGATGAAAAGGTATGAATTGTTGGAATACATAAGTACATTGAATGTCCAGAAAAATGAATGAAAAAGATTATTACACTATTATAAAACTCAAGTCACCTAAAAGGAATAAAAATTCTAAAACTGAGAGGAAAAGAGGGAGGTAGATATGCACACACAATATGTGTGTGTGTGTGTGTGTGTGTGCATATATACATATATATAGAGAGAGAACAGAAAAGATCAAGAAGAAAACTGGCATAAGATTTCTTATTAAAAATTGTGAATTGATGATCAATACATTAATGATTTTAAATTTCCAAGCAAGAATTTTATATCCGGCCAAATCATCAATCAACTGTAAAGGAAGATTAAATGCATTTTCAGACTTGCAGAGATATGGAAAGTTTCTTTTTTCTGAACTCTTTTTTAGGAAGCCACTTCAGGATATACTGTGGCAAAGGGAAGGAGTAAAAAGGAAAGAAGGAGATAAGAGATCTATTAAACAATGGACTCAACCAGGAGAGGTATGAAGACAAGACGACAGTTTTGTACAGACTTACAGATCATTGAGTCCAGATGGAAGCAGAAACATAGAGGGCTTCAGGCAGGAAATAAGAGAAGCTGAATTATTGATTGAGATTTTAAAAATATGGTAAAGCCAACTGAAGGAGTTTAAGATGATGAATCTTCTTTCTCTCTGGTTATCAGTTTAAAAAAAAAGAAAAAATACATACTAAGTGATGAGTCTATCTTGATCTTGATCTTAGGAACGTTTTGTTTTCAATGACACAGGAAGCACAATATCAGAGCCAAAGAACAGACAGATAGTCCTTATCATTAAGCAACATGACTCTGCTATAAGCTATATTTTGAGAAAGAGAGAATCAGTCCCTGAAAACCATAAATTCTCCTGTCACTCACATGTAGGCCATGATCTTCTTCTGTTGAGCAAAAACAATACGTAGAATACTAACATCAGCAAAGACCATTGTGACCTTGAGGGAGCAAGACCAAAATAAAACTACTTCATGCTTGAGCAGAGACAAAAGCAAGAACATCGTCCAAACAAACATCAAAAAAGGCAAACAAAACAAAACAAAACAAACTTCCTTTGTTAATATGAGTGAATACTGCTTCTTTACCAATTACAGCTTTAATTTCACTTTATTCTTCCCACCTTCTAAATAAAATTCATTAAGATACCCAATCATAGAACTACTCCCATTTTCTGAAAGCATCCAATCCAGAGCTAACCTATACTTCCTTGAACCCTCCCCAAAATCACTTAACATAAGCCCAAATGCTATAACACCTTTGTAAGATAAACCCAATTTTGTTCTGACACAGTGTATTCTTGGTGATTTTTGGCTACAGGGCATTCATAATTTATATAGTCATTAAAAGAAAAATTTTTATA